ATATTGGAGTCTGAAAGCTTGGGTTCCAGAAACATTCTGTCTGATGGCAAAAGGGGATTTTTCGTCGCCACGCTACGTTGAGTGGGTTCGAAGGAGATCCTCCAATTTCAGACTTGAGACTTGTAGGTACATTTCACGAAGAGGGGCTGCCTTTCAATATCTTTTGCCCCTTTCACACCAACGTGTTTTCAGGGCCGGCTCGGAGCTAGAGCCTGAAAAGTACCGTTTTTTCCTGTTCACACCGCAGCGGCGCTGCCTTTTAGCTCCGGAATCCGGTTCGTTTCCAGCTCCAAAAAATTGTCGGTCTCGAAGCAAGATTCCTGAGCTAAGAGGCGGCGTTGCTTATGTCTCTCTTACGTCGAGGCGTGCAGGAAACTAAACCCACCTCCCCTGAACATGGGTCGACTGAAGAGTCTCGTCATGCCAGCCTACAAGAAGTAGCGCTGAGCAAAGTGACTAGAAGGCAACCACACACACTTATAAAAAAAAACACACTTTATAAAGTCAGGCAACACTAACCAGGCTTCGTGTGATTCTGTTTATTTGTACCTTACTTTGACCATCCGTTCACTGTTATTGATCATTGTGGAGAGCAGGCAGACGTTTTGTTTTTGATTATAGCAGCTATCGGATGGAATCAATACATGGGCTGCACAGGTTGTCATGTCCGACTATCACAAGTAGAATCATAATGAAAAATACGCCGGTAAAATGTAGAAAACGGCTTATGCCACAATAGGATAGCAATAGCAAGTAGTCAGTTTAGCTTCGGTTGCTATGCTAACATCACCCATTTTATACCAGATAAACTTTCATAACAGCGTTGTGATGCCAAACAGCGTCAATTCAGACTGACACACATTCACTTAAGGGGAACTGGGGATATGTATCAGCTGCTTGTGTGACAGTCAGACAGTGAATACTTTAGAGCGGCCGCTGCCATGTGAGCTAACCCGGAGCTAACGGGAGAATAAACTCCCGTGGAAGAGCAGCCAGCACTGCAGCGGTCGGTAAATGCCGCTGAAACACATTAATAAACAATGAACCACGGCAGTATAAGGTTGGAGAAGTCGTTATTTAATTTAATCTGGCTTCATATGATTAAAAGCAACACGATCATCGACCCGACGCAGTTCCCCGTTGTTGTTGTTGTTGTAGTGAGCGCCGTAACACCGTTGGGGAGAAAATCAGCGACGTAAACGGTGACGTCATGACGCAGCAGCTGCAGCACCAGTCGGGCTCTGGGCGGTGTGAACAAAACGGGAGCAGAAAAGGGAAACCGGAGCTGAACCAGAAAAGCTCTAGCTCGGAGCTAGAACGGGAAAAGCGCTCGTGTGAAAGCCGCATTTGTAGGGGTCACTATTGTTGCCGACACCCAGAGATAGATACCTCCTAAAATATTATATTTTTCACCAGTTTTGACTATCCTGCCAGTAAAATCTAATTCTGCTAAATGTTTACTCTCCACAGGCGGTTCATTTTCTGGTCCAGCTTGACGGATTCAATAGGTCGGTGCTCAGGCCCTAAAAATGTATTTCAATAGTGTTCATTAAACTATCTAGCATTACATTAGAATAGAAAGATGATAAGTAAATACGGTTGTTGTGCTGTATCAATATTTGTTTTCTTATTAAATAGTAGGAATGCTCCGATCGCCAATTTATCAGCCGATACCAATCGCCGATCCGATCGAGTGGGCGGGGCCTATGGGGATCTTCCATTTAAAGTGATGTTTAAAACTCAGTTAATGGGGCTCATTCACTGGCGCTTCCACAAACAACAACCAAGATAATTATTAAATTCAAATGAAGTACATTATTCAAGTTTACATTAACTTTGGATAATAACTAGGGAGAAATGAGCGGAAGCGCTCTCTCTCTCTCCCTCTCCCTCTCTCCATCCCTCCCTCTCCTGACAGCCCGTCAGTATCTCCTGCAGCTCCCTGATCCAGTAATGAGTGACCCGACAGTGAAGAATAAATATATTTATAACTAGTTTAGCTTGTTCCAGAGGTAGATAAAATAACTAAGTGTGTTAGGTCTAACTCTTAGTGTGTGTTTTGCTCCACTCACCGGTCCGTCACAGCGGGTGGAGCTGCAGGATTTCTGCTTCACACACGTTGCATACCGCTATTTTATTGTCATTTTCGGACACCTTAAAATACTGCCAGACTGGTGAAGCCATTTTCGCGAGCTTGTTTTGCCGCGCACAGAGAAAGGTGTCATGTATTTTACGTCATCATTTTACGTCATGCGATCGGCTCTCGCGATCGGAGCATCCCTATTAAATAGAAATAGAAAAGGTGAAAAATCAAGAACATGGACAGATGCTATGCCCCCAAATCACAAAACCCACCCTGAAGAACACACAAAGGTCACGGCCACTGGCAGTCAAACACTGAAACACATCCAATAGACGTATTAATAACGCGGCAGTATTAAAGTATAGCATGGATTTAATTAGCAGGGGTATTTTGCTGTAGCTAACGTGATTAGTGTTTTAAGCTTGTATGAAGTCATACACCGGGAAAAATAGAGCTGAACAAAACTATCTAATATCTGATCCACCTTAAAGTCATTGTAACTGAAGCCCCTGAAAGCCACCACCACGTAATCAGGGTGAAGAGGTTGTGGTCATCTCACATATTCATGTTGGCTCCAAAGCGTCACTTCACTCTGATCAGACGGCAAGCAAGATGTAGCTGCACCTTAAAGGAGAGGTGTCATGGCCATTTCCACTGATCATAATTCCATTGTTGAGGTCTACTAGAATAGATTTATATTGTGCATTTTTCCAAACTCACATTGGTTTCTCAAACAGCATCTCTGTAAACTACTTGTATTCACTGAATTTCACTCTCTGCCTTTAACGGCTCGTTGTAGCTCCAATAGCTCCAGCCCCCACCCTCCCTGTGAGCACAGTGTGCTCTGATTGGTCGGGACGTTGTGAATCGCGCTGAGCTCCGTGGAGGTGTTGTTTCCTTGTTTAGCATACATAGCGAAACACAGCCAAACTCATCCTGAGCACACACAAAGTCACAGCCGAAGTAAAAACAATAAGTGTGGCTTGATATTGAGTAAGAAAAAGGTTGATAAACTCTGTGAGAATGGGTCTGCAGAGAGAATGGGTCTGCAGAGAGAATGGGTCTGCAGTGAGAATGGGTCTGCAGAGAGAATGGGTCTGCAGTGAGAATGGGTCTGCAGTGAGAATGGGTCTGCAGAGAGAATGGGTCTGCAGTGAGAATTTCGCCGCGATCCCAACTGTCTGTTATCAGCCTGCAGCCAGGGAGGAGAAATCAGCTGAGCTGCCTGCTCCCTGCACACAGATGTGTGTGTGAGGAAGTCCGTGGATTGGTCAATTTGGACCAATCAGCAGGGGCTTAACGTAACGGCTGCGCGGACGTAACGTAACGGCTCCACGGATTGGTCCATTTGGTTCCGGGTAACGCATGACCGTATCGCATCATAGCTCTGGGCGTATCGCTCCCTACGTAGCGATACCCAGGAAGTAAACAATGGGCAATGACGTATCTCCAACGAGGCGTTTTGGGGAGGTATTTTCTGTGTTAGAGTTTTACTCGCTACAGGGTGTACTTTGAGGGTTTTCACTCTGCACACCGTTTACATGCATAAAAACCTTCATAACACACAAGGGGACGGGTAATAACCGGAAAAGCATGACACCTCTCCTTTAACCTTTAAAAATACTGTTAGAGCCACTATTTTGTTTGAATGAGAAAGGCCACCTAATCGTGACGTCTGTAGTCAACCAGAGTATAAAAGACTACAATTCCCACTGCACCTCCTCTAAAGTGACATTGATGGGCATCCTGCTAGAAAGATGCCGTCGAGACACCGTTTTTAACCGTTCAACTACCATTTAAGTTATCAAGTTGTATAAGCCTTAACAAAGAAAGAAAGCAAGAAAGAATACCTAAGTTGTTTGTTATTTTATTTGAGTTTTGCCTCTTTGTTTTGACTATTGTGAAGGCCTCTTTTCTTTGTTGCATGTGTAAAAGTTTGTTATTTTATTTTGAGCAAACCCATTGCATAATATCATCCAAACCATCGGATGAGCAACTCATCAGCTGTAAGTAACACAAATATAAAGGAAAGAAAACAAGTAAAAAATGTCTGTTTAAGGCGTCTAGTGGCTTGATGGGAAAATAAGGAAGGAAGCCACGACAAAAACAATTCCATTATTTAACTCCCTCCCCCTTTCTCTCCCTCAGAACACACAGTTCTTCTCTCCTTCTCTTCCAAACTCCTCCTCCTCTCCTCTTCCTCCCTCACATCTGCAGCATTCTTGTCTTTCCTAAGAGGATTGTGACATGTGGTTTTGATGAACTCACACGCTCTCTCTGTTCCCTTTTCCCCCCTTTCACTACCTCATTCTGTTCTCTATTTCTCAATGTCTCCTCCTCTGTCCAAACAGATACACACACTGCAGAAACACACATGAATACACAAACACAAGACACTACTCAGTTTTATTGGCTTCCCACTGTCCTCCCCCTGTCTAGTGGTGTGTCTCATGATCATGTGGTCTGTCTTTGTTTTAAAAAAAACCTCTTCTCGTACAGTTTGCAACACTTTTTCTCTGGTTTTGATTTGGCAGTGTTCAAACACTATCCTCGAATGACAAACATTTTTCATCGGAAAATATTTTTTCTCTGCAGTACAACACACTTTTATAAACCATTTCATTGTATATATTTTACCTATTATAATGTGAGAACATTCAGAATGAACACACTGTATATCTGTGTACCTGTGTAAGACCATATCATTAGATCTAATCACTCAAACATTAAATTGCACAGTATTTGATTTACACACTTCCTTCCCGTAGACATGCCTACTAGAGCAATTTGGGGTTCAGAGCTCTTCACATGAAATTGGACATTATTCATGCAGTGAAACATTGTACTGTTTTTCTGCCATCCAGGGGGTATGTGCTTGGTTTGAGTATAACTGAATGGATTTGTATCTTCACTTCAGGACAGTTCTATTGGTTATCTGACTTCCTGTCTGGCAGTATGATATCCTCTGAGGGTACAGTGGCAGCAGGTGAACCCAGGTTCCATCGTCTCTACGCCTGGTTTGACCCTGAAAGTGCTGCGGTGAGATCTACACACAGTTCTGGTGGAGCCCACTTACATTTCAAGTCTAACTACTGATCAAATATAAGTGTGTGTGTGTGTGTGTGTGTGTGTGTGTGTGTGTGTGTGTGTGTGTGTGTGTGTGTGTGTGTGTGTGTGTGTGTGTGTGTGTGTGTGTGTGTGTGTGTGTGTGTGTGTGTGTGTGTGTGTGTGTGTGTGTGTGTGTGTGTGTGTGTGTAGGTGGTGACCATCCTGTTGGGGCTGTTCCAGGTGCTGTTATCTGTCCCTCTGGCTTACGCTGACCAGACTCTGCCAAAACTCTTCATACTGCCGCTGGTCTTAGGGATCCTAGTATGTATCTCGTCATTTTATGTCTTAGGATGACTTTGGGTCAGCGGGTCAAATAAAACAAAACATGAAAAGCTGTTGCAGATGGTCTGCACATTATATTTCATAAACATTTCAGTCAACATAAATCTAGGTAATTTAGAATTCTCTCAATCTCTGTCTAATGTAAGGCTGACAGCTGCACAGCTGCACCGTCTCCACCTCGCTGCTCCTTATATAGTATACTGGATCATCATTAGGACTACATCAGTCTGATCTTAAAGGTGGGGTAGGTAATTTTGGAGAAACCAGCTCGAGTGCGCTAGAATTTGAAAATACACAACCGGAGAAAATCTGCCACTTCCTTATTTTGTGTCAAAGCACTTAAGATATTCATTGCTATCGGGATGTTAAGAGCATTCCATGGAATATAACAAAAAGTGTATCTCGAGCCGGTTTCTCAAACTTACCTACCCCACCTTTAAATGTCCCATATTATACTATATTTGAACAATATATTATAGGGACATATCTATAAAAACATGTCTCTGAAGTGTTTTGCTGAAAATACCAAACAGATCACCCATTGTAGCATGCCTCATACCCCTCTATTTCAGCCCTGTTACTAAAGTGCTGATTCTGTGTCTGGCCCTTTAAATGTAACCGAGCTGCTGCTGGCCACGCCCCTTTGGAGCTGCCGCATGCAAGCAGTGAGTTCTGTGAAGAGAAGGCTGTCTACCAGCAGAAACTCAGCTAAACGCTGCCGTGATTAAACGCCATATCATGTTCCAAACCACATCAAGGATTATTTCTGAAACAGAATGGAGCTCAAACTCTTTCTCTCTCGCGGGTTTACTACAAGGACAGTACCTTTTATTTCCTGCTTCTTTAAACATATTTTCTCCAGTACAGCGTTAGCTCTGAGTGTTAGCGATGCTTGCTAATGTAAACACAGACCATATTTCTTCCAGAACACGTCCATATTGTTTCTGATACAGCAACGTTTCTGATAGGGGACGATAGGTTGGGCGAGATGTTGCCAGGAGTTCAACGTAAAGCCAGCCCAGATTTTGGTAATGTCAACATGACGCAGCAAATCTATATCAGCTCCGTTGTGCCTCCGTTTTTAGAGATGTGGGTAAGGAGGAAAAGAGAGAGGGTTGTATTTTATGATACTTTGTGAGTCTCCTTACACACGGGGACATATATTTATGTATAAAAGACATCAAAAAGTGCCTTTTGGTTAATGGGTGACCTTTAAAGTACTTTGACACTGTGGCTCTACTCCTGAGGCTGAAGGCTGAACTGAGGACAGATTTTTTTACACAGCTTTAATAAAGTAAGGTGTTAGTTGCCCAAATAAAAATAAAACATTAATATGTATCATGTTTTAACCGTCACATGCTGTATATTGACATTGTTTGAAGACTGGTAGTTTGTAGAGATCAAACTTAGGCAGTACTCACATAATGCCAGGTAGGTTTATCAGTGGCTTTCGGCACTCTCAGGTACGCCCCAGCTGCTTTAAGCGTCTTTACTACACAGATTCCTACTGATGGTATGAACATGAGGAATCATTACAGCTGCAAATAACCCTCTAAATCTTCATATGGACATGTGACTATTGTACTGCTGAAGGTTGCTCAAATGTATGGTCTATCCTTTCTTTAAAGGATAGGTATACATATATAGTATACAGTGCCTCCGGAAAGTATTCATACCCCTTAACTTTTTTCACATTTTGTTATGTTACAGCCATATTTCAAAATTGATTAAATTCATTTGTTTTCTCAACATTCTACACGCAATACCCCATAATGACCAAGTGGGAAAAGTTTTAAAATAATCTTTGCAAATTAATTAAAAATAAAAAACTCAAATATGTACATAAGTATTCACACCCTTTACTCAATACTTTGTTGAAGCACCTTTGGCATCAATTACAGCCTCAAATCTTCTTGAGTATGATGCTACAAGCTTGGCACACCTATCTTTGGGCAGTTTCTCCCATTCTTCTTTGCAGATTGTCTCAAGCTCCATCAGGTTGGATGGAGAGCGTCGGTGCACAGCCATTTTCAGATCTCTCCAGAGATATCCAATCCGGTTCAAGTCTGGGCTCTGGCTGGGCCACTCAAGGACATTCACAGACTTGTCCCGAAGCCACTCCTTTGTTATCTTGGCTGTGTGCTTAGGGTCGTTGTCCTCAGGTGAACCTTCGCCCCAGTCTGAGGTCCAGAGCGCTCTGGAGCAGGTTTTCATCAAGGATCTTCCTGTACATTGCTGCATTCATTTTTCCCTTGATCCTGACTAGTCTCCCAGTTCCTGCCGCTGAAAAACATCCCCACAGCATGATGCTGCACCACCATGCTTCACTGTAGGGATGGTGTTGGCCAGGTGATGAGCGGTGCCCGGGTTCCTCCAGACATGATGCTTGGCATTCAGGCCAAAGAGATCAATTTTGGTTTCATCAGACCAGACAATTTGTTTTTCTCATGGTCTGAGAGTACTCTAGGTGCTCCATGGGGGCTTTCATGTGCCTTTTGCTGAAGAGTGGCTTCCTTCTGGCCACTCTACCATAAATGCCTGATTGGTGGACTGCTGCACAGATGGTTGTCCTTCTGGAAGGTTCTCCCATCTCCACAGAGGAACACTGGAGCTCTGTCAGAGTGACCATCAGGTTCTTGGTCACCTCTCTGACCAAGGCCCTTCTCCCCTGATGTTCAGTTTGGTTTGGGCAGCCAGCTTTAGGATGAGCCCTGGTGGTTTCAAACATCTTCCATTTGCAAATGATGGAGACCACTATGCTTGTTGGGACGTTCAATGCTGCAGACATGTTTCTGTACCCTTCCCCAGATCTGTGCCTTGATACAATCCTGCCTCTGAGGTCTACAGACAATTCCTTGGACCTCATGACTTGGTTTGTGCTCTGATATGCACTGTCAACTGTGGGACCTTATATAGACAGGTGTGTTCCTTTCCAAGTCATGTCAAATCTATTTAATTGACCACAGGGTCACAAGTTATAGAAACATTTCAAGGATGATCAGTGGAAACGGGATGCACTTGAGCACAATTTTCAGTGTCATAGCAAAGGGTATGAATACTTATGTACATGTGATATTTCATTTGATTATTTTTAACACGTTTGTATTCAAATCTTTAAAATCGTTTTCACTTTGTCATTATGGGGTTATGGGTTTAGAATGTGTTACGACTGAATAAACGGGTTTGAACTCAAATGCACGACTCACACAGGATTTAACAAAAAAAGGTTTATTCAAACCAAAGCTCAACTACAAAACTAAATTACTCTTAATGAGGAAAAACACTAACAAAACAAAATCACTTCAATGAGGAAAAACACTAGGAGCATGAATAAGAAAATACTCAGACAAGACGTGGCTCAAAGCTCTGCTTGGGAGTATTCCTGGCAAGATACGCTGGTAGATTGTCACAAGAAAGGAAACAAACTGGCACAGGACAAAGGGAGACGAGGACAATAAATACACCAGGTAATGGGGAACAGGTGGAAACAATCAGGGGCGGGGTCGACAATCACAGGAGTGGGAGACACACAAGGAAGGGAGGTCAGAGTATCTGAAACGAGAGGGAAGGTTACTATTAAAAAATAAAGGGGAAATCACTAGACAAAGACAAAAACACTAAACCAACATAATTTGCGAGAGATGACAGTACTCCCCCCTCTAGGGACGACTCCTAACGGCCCAGGAACCTGAGGGTGCTGGCGAAAAAAGTCATTAATGAGAGTTTGATCCTCGACAAATGTTGATGGGATCCAGGAGCGTTCCTCTGGTCCATAACCCTCCCAGTCAACCAGGAACTGTCTCCCTTTGCCTCTGTTCCGGACCGCCAACAGGCGCTTGACCGTATAGACCAGGCCGTCGTCGAGCATTCGGGGGGGTGGAGGGGGTTTGGCTGCGGGAACCATGGGGCTTTCCTTTACCGGCTTCAGTCGTCCCACATGGAAAGTGGGATGAACCCTCAGAGACCTGGGGAGGTTCAAAAGCAGTAGCCATGAGGGGGAGCGGATACCTGTTCTTAACCGTAAGGAGAATAATCAATGCATGGCCTAAGGGATCCGTCCTTTTTTCCCACAAAGAAAAAACCCGCCCCAGCCGGGGAGGAAGACGGGCGGATCAGACCTGCACAAAGAGAGGTGTCAATGTACTCCTTCATAGCCTCCTTCTCAGGGCCCGAGATGGAGTATAACCTACCCTTCGGAATTGGAGCCCTAGGTAACAGATTGATGGCACAATCATACGGCCTATGAGGAGGAAGGGAGGTGGCGCTCACTTTACAAAATACCTTGGCCAGGTCATCGTAACAGGGAGGAACAGAAGTTAAATCTGGGGTTTGAGTCTTGCGGTCCAGGCTATGTTGAGTATTAGTAACCCGATCGGTACTACGTTCCCCAGAAACCCCTCCTACTGCCATGTTTCCCACACACTTAAAACAATCCTGTGAACACTCCTGCCCCCACCCCTTAATTTTACCTGACCGCCAATCAACATATGCTTGGTTAGCCAGGGAAAACCTAGGATGAGAGGATGTTGAGCAGAATTAAACAGGTGAAACGACATGAGTTCACAATGATCATCAATCATGATAGTGACAGATTCGGTCTTGTGTGTGACATGAAATAGAAGTTTGCCATCCAGAGCACTTGCTTTCAAAGGGGACGACAAAAGTTCAGTTTTAAGTCTCAGTTCATGTGCTAATCCCCAATCCATCAGGCTTTCGTCAGCCCCAGAGTCAATTAACACTTTTTGAGAGTTACTTTTTTCATGGCAGATTACCTTTATGTTGGTCAACTTGCGGGGAGGAGAGTCTGCCGTAGAAAGACGGCTCACCAATGCCCTCCCTTTCACTGGTGAGCCCCGTCTTTTACCGGGCATCCAGAGAGAAGATGACCTTGTTGGCCGCAGTAAAAACATCTTCCCTCCAGCAGGCGGCGCCGCTGCTCCTCCGTAGACACCTTGGCACGTCCCAGCTGCATTGGCCCCTCGGCCTTGTTGGGGGACGCTGATCTCTGGGATGGAAGGAAAGAGGTAGTCTCCTGAGAGTGAGAAGAGTAGGGGTGCCCTCTAGGGTGGAAATAGGGTAGTGCAGCCCTGTCCTTCTCCCGTTTCCTCTCAGCAAGTCTGTTATCAATCCTTATGGACATGGCAATGACAGAGTCTAGTTCCACAGGCAGCTCCAAGGGCGCCAGCTGATCCTTAATAGGGTCAGAAAGTCCATTAATAAAGGCATCGAACAAAGCAGAAGAATTCCAGCCACTATCGGCCGCGATGGTGCGAAATTCCACTGCGTAGTCTGACACACTGCGTCTTCCTTGACTTAACTTGTAAAGGGCCCGAGCTGCTTCTCTGCCTGGGGACGTTTGGTCAAAAATGTTCGTCAGGGAGTCCGTAAACTGTCCCAAAGACTTGCATATCGGCGAGTCACGTGACCATTCAGCCGTAGCCCACGCCGCCGCTCGTCCGGTGAGATGGGAAATCATAAAAGCCACCTTGGATCTCTCCGTGGGAAAGGCTGTCGGAAGTTGACTATAATGTAGGCTGCAATTCACCAGAAAGGGACGGCAGTCATGGGATTCCCCGGAAAACTTCTCAGGCGGAGCCAGGCGGATTGACACGGTGTGGGAAGCGGGCGCCGGGTCCGCATTCGCTTCGGGTCCGGCCGGAGGTGGGGGTGAGGGCTCAGCCTTGAGGTGAGTGAGCAGGTGGTGAACCTGCCCCGCCAGGTGGTTAATCTGGTTTGTTACAGATGACTCGAACTCCCTCTGGCTGTCTGTGACGTGCGATATTCCCTGCTGGATGGCCGTTAAATGATCCTCCTGTTGAGCGAGGCGGCCTCCCTGAGAGCGAAGCGCCGCTTTCAGCTGTTCAGAGTCGGCTGAGTTCATGTTTAGGCCAGTTCATACTGTTACGACTGAATAAACGGGTTTGAACTAAAATACACGATACACACAGGATTTAACAAAAAAAGGTTTATTCAAACCAAAGCTCAACTACAAAACTAAATTACTCTTAATGAGGAAAAACACTAACAAAACAAAATCACTTCAATGAGGAAAAACACTAGGAGCATGAATAAGAAAATACTCAGACAAGACGTGGCTCAAAGCTCTGCTTGGGAGTATTCCTGGCAAGATACGCTGGTAGATTGTCACAAGAAAGGAAACAAACTGGCACAGGACAAAGGGAGACGAGGACAATAAATACACCAGGTAATGGGGAACAGGTGGAAACAATCAGGGGCGGGGTCGACAATCACAGGAGTGGGAGACACACAAGGAAGGGAGGTCAGAGTATCTGAAACGAGAGGGAAGGTTACTATTCAAAAATAAAGGGGAAATCACTAGACAAAGACAAAAACACTAAACTAACATAATTTGCGAGAGATGACAGAATGTTGAGAAAACAAATGAATTTGATCAATTTTGAAATATGGCTGTAACATAACAAAATGTGGAAAAAGTGAAGGGGTATGAATACTTTCCGGAGCAATATATACATTTGAGCAACCTTCAGCAGTACAATAGTCACATGTCCATATGAAGATTTAGAGGGTTATTTGCAGCTGTAATGATTCCTCATGTTCATACCATACACAAATGAAAAATGTTCATAGTAATTCCTTATTTCAAACTTTAAAGCAATCACTCCTTGCATTGACAATATATTTTAATGAAAAGATCTGTGTCTTGCAGATTGTGGCGGCAGGATCCTTTACCATTGCCAACGAGAGAAACTCCAGCAGACTACTGGTATGTTCACAGCACATTTTCATCTTACCAATATCTGAAATATCATACACGCTTTTGCTTTCTTTGTATCAACATTCACTCGACAAACATTTTTAGTTAGACTCATGTGTTGCAGTGTATAACCCAAGAATAAAAACTCATAAAAATACAGACGAAGCCTTTGTGCATCTTTTGTAATATTCTTTAGTTGTAATAATATTTTGTAAGTTATTCAAATGTACACTAATACAAGTGTGTGGGTGTTCTGTGCACATTGATGGAACTCTACTGTCCCCCCCACAGCTCTGTGGTTGTGCATGCAGTAATGTTGTTGGCCTGCTGGGGGCGCTGCTGGCCTTCTGCATCTACTGCTACAGCCTGAGCAGTGCACACAGCAGGGAGCCTTGTTTTCCCGCTGCTGACCATGAATATAGACACATAGGCTCCTACTACGGCTGCCCCGGGGAACTCCTGATGGTCAGTGCTGCTTTTATTAAACTTCACTTCTCTCTTCTTTTCCAGTAGAGATAAAGAAAAGGAAAAATAAAAACCGATAATAGTGTTGCAGTGATGATGCAGATTTACGCAGACCATGAAGTTTGCATCGCAAGAGATCCATCGACAAAAAGCAACAGAATTTTTTATTTGGGTTGGAGAAATAAGATCCGTTGCACATGTTTATGATACCTACACATTTTGTTTAGCAGGATCATCATCTGTTTCCAAAAAGTAGAAATTGAAAGACAAGACATCCGAAAGCAGTAAAAAAAAAAACGAATTTCCAAACCTGTTAAGCCCTGAGCCTGTTTTTCAGGTCTCAGGCTCGAAAATGACATACCCAGAACAAATGACTATAACTTCACTTCTAAAAGGGGAAAATTAATAATCTTTTTTCTCAAAGCAATGATAAACCTGTGAGTTGGATGTAGAAAAGTCAGAATCAATATAGAATTTTTTTAAGTAAATTCAGATTGAACATAGTAAAAAACTGTAAATTATAGTGTCCGTCCAAAAATTATGTTTTACTTATAGTGAAAACCACCCTTGGATGATGGGTTAGTAGACTAAAAGCTTTAGGAATCCAAACTATAACATATAATAAGTACCCTGTATCAAGATTGATGCTAAACAAGTGACATTTGACCTTTTTAGAGAGATTTAGCAAAACAAAAAACCACCTCTGGGGTCATTTGGGTGGATTTGCCGTATCTCTGGAACCCATTGGTCGATTTTGATGATTAACACAACTTTTTAACCGTTAGAGCCAATAGAATCGAGGGGGTGAGAGTGATGCGCACGCAGTTTGCCCAAAACCGAAAGCTCCGTTACACTCTAATGAAAAATAGGTTTATTGCCATAAATGTTATGATAGATTATCAGTAATCATTTCAAAGGGACACAGAGACATTGTATTAACCTTCAGCAGCGTTTATATGCGTTTTAATGCCCTTGAACACAACTTTTGATCAGAAAACAGCAAAGGTAAGACGTATTTGCCGTTTTGGCCCCGTAAAGTGAAGTTGTGTGTTGTCTTTCCTGCCGTGAGTTTTGGTCGCACAGTGATGATACTTATACCATTGGAATATGTGGAATCTCAGCTTTCATATGATATCTAGTTTGTGCAGATTGCATGAAGTATAAACAGAGGCGAGTCGTGACATTTATACCTAGGCCCTCTGACCCCCCCCTTCCCTCGAAAAAAAAGAAGAGTTATTACGTCTCAGCGTATACTTCAGCGGAATATCAAAACAACGGCCCGGGGTGCAAAACGCATCAATGACAGCGACCCTCTACCACACAAAACAACACCATTTATCTAAACACCTATCATGACAGGGCACCCACAGCCAAGTAACAATTACAAATGAATGAAGTCGGCACGGCGGCCCACATTGAAAATGACTTAGGCCTACCTTTGATGATCATATCACTTAAACACAAAGTCCATCCTCCTGTCCTTTTGGATGAAGCACTTGATGGCGGGTCATGCAGCTGATCCTTTGCCACTCCAATTTATCATTGTAACTCAATCTTGAAAATGACTCGGTAAATAATTTCGCAACGATGTCATCACTATCACTGAAATGACATGGTCATTCGTTTTCCACAGACCTTATTTCGAGCTATTACATCCATGAGAAATCCCATTGCTTTTCTGTCGAGGGAACCCGAGCACAGCTTACTTCCGGGTTTTAGGACGCGTCACTGCACCACTTGCATAAACCTCACAGCGGGCGGAACTTGTCATAAAGTCCGCGAAAATAAAGCCCACCCATTTAGAGGGAAGATATGATTGGTCAATTGTACTGTCATTTGACATTACTCTCTCATTGAGTAGCTGGCCCTCTGTGAATGTACAGAGGGACCAACAAGCTCTCCCGTCTTCACAGTAACTCGCAGAGTCGGCATTTAACCCTTCACATTCCAACAGAAACTTAACAGGCAGATTCGAAGGATTTATTTCTTTGGAAATGTTATTTTAAATACAATTAAATCAAGTTATTTTGGTAAAACTAATGAAAAATGTAACAAAAAAAATATATAAAAAATAATATGTTAAAAAAAATGTTTAAAATATTATTTTTTTGAATATCTTAGGGCCCTGACGGCTCGCCACTGAGTATAAAATATAGTGTGATAGCACACTTTCGCTTTGTGCTAATTCAGAGGCTTGGTGTTACCCTTGTGTTTCGTTTAGCTAAAAATGGTTCATATCGTCAGTTAGTTGAGTCTCTTCCCGTTAAGTGGGTATGACACATTAATAGGTTGTTAAATGTCAAGAAGCCCTGAGACACAGTGCTTTACAGGTTATGAGAAGAATTGGGGGAAAGAATGGTGATGATGATGTGTGTTTTGATTCCCTGCAGGCCTACTGCTGGAGCATGACGGTGCTGCTGCTGCTCTACAACACTGCAGCCGCTCTGCTGCACGGCCTGCTGTCCATGAACGCCTACAGAGCACTCAAGAGAGACTGACACACACAGAACATGGAAACATTGAAACTAGTTTATTTGTTATAAGTGTCAAACCTGCAGATTTCTGGTTAAGTGGACTTGGTGACACTGTAGTGAGTTTTCTTTATATAAAACAGATCAGATAAGTTATATTCTGACCAAAGTGTGTCCTGACTTCATTGATGGTAACACAGTAAATAAGTTCTTCTTACTCAGTCAGCATACACAGTCGATGTGACGAGATTAAATAAACTAAATAGTCAATAACTGTGAGATATATTAAATATTTTTCTAGAAAATAATAAGAAAAAAAAGGCAAGGACTTAAACTCAAACCCACTCAATTTTATATGATATTCCTACTAAGAGATACCCATGATCCTACACACTGCTCCTCTCAGGTGTGTGTGTGTGTGTGTGTGTGTGTGTGTGTGTGTGTGTGTGTGTGTGTGTGTGTGTGTGTGTGTGTGTGTGTGTGTGTGTGTGTGTGTGTGTGTGTGTGTGTGTGTGTGTGTGTGTGTGTTTTCTCAGGCTCTGTAGGCGCCTTTTAATGACTGTGGGGGTGGGGGGTGCAAAAAATATAAATACATGACAAAAATGTTTCACTGTAAATATTCAAACATATTGTCCTTGTCTTTCCATACTGGCTCTAACACATATCTTTCCTCAAACCTGCTTAATGAATCTTTACGTTTTTATTGTTTATTTTTAAATTTAACAGACCCTGGAATGGAATGGCTGCCATACATGTAGAGATTGAGTGGTCTTTTCATTTTGTGCTGTATATTTCTTTCTTTTTTTACAATGTTTTAACAAATGAAAAGGGAGGCACTATGATCATCTTTATTAATCAACACAGATATCATTTTTTTGTCAACTCTAACATCACTCTAGATCAGGCATGGGCAAACTAAGGCCTGCGGGCCATATACGGCCCATTGGGCTTTTTAATCCGGCCCGCAGAATATTGGTACAAAATTGTCCAAATTATAGTAAAGACCGCATTCATTTAGCCTTTTTCCTGCAATACCTGGCATTTCAGTTGATCCCACTATGGCGCACTCTAGACACAATTGACCTTTGCTGGAGTCTGGTCTATTCTCTCAGCTGGCCCCACTCGGCAACCCGGCAAGAGCCAAGAACCAAATACGTCACGCTTACATTGGAGGGGGTCGAGATTAACCTGAGCAATAACAGTTCATGGCGAGTACAGCGAATACAAGTTGTAACAAGCAGTAGCACTGAGCAAAGTGACTAGAACGCGACCACACACTTATAAAAAACACTTATATAAAGTCAAGCAACACTAATCGGGCTTAGTGTGATTCTGTTTATTTGACCTTACTTTAATAACCATCCGTTCACTGTTATTGACCATTGTGAAGAGGCAGACGTTTTCCTGTTGTTCTGTATTATTGCAGCTATCGGATGGAATCAATACATGGGCTACATGTGGCCATCACAAATAAAATCATAACGAAAACTACGCCGGTAAAATATGCGTGTAGAAAACGGCTTATGCCACAATATGATAGCAACAAGTAGTCAAGATAGTCTGATTAGCTTCGGTTGCTATGCTAACATCACCTGTAGAATACCAGAGAAACTTTCATAACAGCGTTGTGATGCCAAACAGCTTTCAGACTAAAACACATTCACTTATGGGGATGGGGGATATCTATCTTAGCTTGTGTGACAGTCGGACAGTGAAGACTTTACAGCGGCCGCTGCCGTGAGTTAACGGGAGAATAAACTCCGGTAGACGAGCAGCACTGCAGCAGGCAGTAATGCAGCTGAACCACATTAATAAACAATGCACCACGGCACTCTGGAGAAAGGTACAAGGTTGGAGAAGTAGTTATTTAATTTAATCTGGCTTCGTATGATTAAAAACTACCCGACGCAGTCCTCTATTGATGTTGTTGTGAGCGGTGTTGCGGAGAAAATCAGCGACGTAAAATGCAGTGTGGGTAATAAGAAGGCACGTAAACGGTTACATCATGACGCAATAATTCACCTTTGAACCTAATTCACCTTTGAACCTGCATCTGTAACGAGTGGACCAAAGAAAAGAAAAGTCAACATTGAGTGCCGAGTGTTTAATGAGGAGTGGACAGCTAAATATTTTTTCACCGATCTGCTACTGGCCCGGCCCGTCTGTCAAATTTTAAAACTCATAGTGGCCCCGAGCCAAAAAGTTTGCCCACCCCTGCTGTAGATCAACAGTCGTCACAATTCTGTAATACTAATCATGTCAGAGAAGGTGCCCTGCTGTCAGTGTGAGCTTCCTAACAGCTCCTCTAAAGAGTCACAGAGGCCTGTATGCGTTGAGACTGTTCTCACTGGCGTACTGACGGGGGGGGGATCACAGGTAAGGGGACACAGGAGCAGTTTGGGCCTTGGCACCCAGCTCTACAACTCCTGTTGTTTGTAGGGAAACCGGATGATTTTTGTAAACAATAAAGATGTTCTTGTATTGATGCCTTTGTGTTGTTATTTTGAGTGTTGATGAAGCAGTTAAAATGTTAGCTTAACCTAGACCTACTGGTTATGAACTCCATTAAGGAAACATGCATTTTAGGCTTTACAAATCAATATCAGTACGTAGTTATTTCGGCATCAATTTAATACCTTTATTGCAATTATATCACATCAATAACTTTGTAGTGACCTGTAGTAAACTAGAAATTAGGGCGTTTTTTGTAAAGCAGCAATATTGCATTGACCATGATTAATGAAATGTTTTGGTATCTACGAGGAAGGGAGCTGCTCTTTCTCCCTGATGCATTCAGCTGGTTAGGCAAGAAAACAGCAACAAAAATAAAATACATAATTTACAGGGAGACGAAAATTAGCTTTTCTTCTGGTGTGAATAGCGTGAGAACACCTAAACACAAAATCACAGATAACACTGTGGTAGCGACCAGTCAATCATTAGGGAGTCCTGCCCTAAAGCACACCCTGATTTATTGTCTATTTTCCTCTAACTGGGACCCGGATTTACTGAATGAACATCGTGCTGTACTAAAGAAGGATTAAAACTGAGAACGTAAACGCATTAGGAAAATGTTTACTGAGGTAAAAAATCAATAGGGTCATTCTTCTCATTGCTACATTACATTCAGACTTCATTTGCAACCAGTGGAGTCAACTCTCCCTGGATGTAAGAAAGAATGCACGTTTAAAGCACTTTTGCAGTGGCTCCACCTTTCAGACCAGGAGGTTGCCCCCTGTTCATTGGGCTTTTTGTGTAGAGTAATTCCAGGTTCACCAAATGAAACTAAGTGTGTGGAGATGTGTGTTCATGTTGTGATGCTTAAAGTGGACCTATAGAGCAGTGGTTCCCAAACTTTTTGTGCCCAAGGCACACCAAAGGACAAGTAAAAATCTCAAGGCACACCTATTGTGCAAAATAGCCCTTATAACACGTGTTATCACTCATATCATGTAAAATATCTGTAAATGTGCATAATTATTTACTAATGCCAAATAAAAATGTGACAAAGACAACTATATTACTCATGAAATATTTATTAACGAAATATTTCAGAAATTAATTTGAAACTTTATCAAATTAGGCTTCATCAAAGCAGCAACACACTAATTTAAACCAGACAGGTCACAAAATTAAAAATGAGGCAAAGACTCAGCAGAAATTCAGCACAGAGAACTGTCAATGCAAGGAAGCTGCACTGTCCATGGGCCTGAACTACAAATTATAAATGTAACATTTCAGCAATCAGCATTGAAACATGTGCTATTGTAAATATTTTTGCCGATTTACAAATTAGTGAGATGTGCCTGTCGGGGCGCGCAGATTTTTTTAATCCTTGGTGGCACTGAGGAGAGGGCCACTCGCAAGTCCTGTTCAACAGAGAGCCGTGACCTCCTGTTGTTCTTCATGTAAACCAGAGTAGAGAACGCCAACTCACACAGGTAGGTAGTGGGAAAAAGAAGAAGTTGCTCAATCGCGTGGTGGGAGATGCTTGGGTACTCCGATACAGAAGCCAACCAAAACTGATCCAGTGGGAGCTCACTACATTTGAGTTTCAGTGTGCGGTCCACACGGAGCTCTGCGCACTCCTCTCTCTCTTTCATAGTGAGCTTTTCTGTTGGGAATTCCTGGTGGAATGGGTCTCGGATCCAGTCATAGTCCTCGATGTCAGCCACACGTGGAAAATAGTGGTCAAACCTCTCTTTTAAGGTCTGAAGGTGTTTGGCATATACAGCGCGCTCCCTAGCTGCCTGCGGCGCAGCTGATGCCAGCGGGAACATGTCCATGGAGCCCTGTTCCAAAGCCTCGCGCCACAGGATAAGTTTGCCCATGAACCCCCGAATCTTGTCTGTGGATGATAAAATGTTTTCATTCCTGCCCTGAAGCTTGGCGTTTAACTCGTTGAGATGCGCAAATATGTCTGCGAGGTAAGCCAGCCTGGCGCACCACCTCTCATCCGCGAGCTTGTCTTTATGTGGGACAGCGTGTTCACGTGAAAACTCCAAAAGCTCTTCCCGAAGCTCATAAAGACGGGATAGGACTTTCCCCCGTGACAGCCAACGTACCTCTGTGTGGAGGATCAGGCTTTGGTGGTCGGCTCCCATCTCGGCGCACAGCTGGGAGAAGAGGCGAGATTTCAGGGGCCTTGATGTGATGTAATTCACCATCTTCTCCCGTAGTATGGCTTTCCATTTCTTTGCAGAAGAAAAACGTCTCTTTGATAGAGTCAGCATCAACATATCTGACGTTTGCCAGAAGTTGGGCAGCCCCACTTATGTCAGTAGATTCGTCTATTTGTAGGGGAAATCTGCCGCTCGCCTGCAGTGCCATAAGACAGGTAACTTTCATGATACTGTCTGCTGACAGTTTTTTTCCTCTTTTCTTTCGGTGGTGGGTTGTCGGCAGTCTGCACTGGTGGTTGGTGGTTTGCTCCGCACAAGAAAGCGCTCCATTTTCCCTCTTGCGTGTTTCTCTGTTTTAATGTTGTCCTTCAGCCTTCGATGTGTCACGGTCTTATAATTCCCACCTGTGCAACTGCGTTAACAGCGAAATATGGGGTTCTGTGAGGATTTTTTTTTAAATAATTGTTTTTAGGTATAGAGTTTGCCTCTGTATTATGAAATGAGTGCATACAAAGTACTGATATAGTAAATTAAAAAATAATTATTTTTGTGTAGTTGTATATTGCAATAATAACGTATGGTTGTCACAAAATCCCACGGCACACCCGGACTTGCCTCACGGCATACCAGTGTGCCGCGGCACACCGTTTGGGAACCACTGCTATAGAGTGCCACAGTGACTCGTCCTAAAACCCGGAAGTAAACTCCTTCCGGTTCCTTCAACAAAAACCAATGCAATTTCTCCAAAAAATATATTGTAGGGCCATACCCAAAGCCATATAAAGAGAAAGTTGCCTCATCTCCGTTCACTCCAAT